GTCCCGCCCGGTACAACGGTCGGTACCAGGCCAGTCCAGTCCAGTCCAGTCAGTCCGCTGGGGGTATACCCCAGCTGCAGTCTGTTTTTCGGCATTCTTCACTTTCGCAGATCTTGGAGTACTTGCGTGTGGAGTCTGCGTCGGAGCTGCGCTGTCCCCTCCAGCTCCATCTCTACCTCCTCCTTCGTCTCCATCCTAACGGACCGCCATCCCGGCGGGTCCGGCACAGAGAGAGACCAACTGGCCAAGCTCAGCTCATACTCACACCTGGTAGCACTTTCCTAAACGTATCTGACAGCAATCACGGCCACACCCTGGATGCATCTGACTGCAATGACGTCCAGAGCTCAGCCGAAAAAAAGGTCCTACTAGTAGTGCGAGTATGCCCTCCTCAGTTGTCATACCCACATCTCTTGAAACACAGACCTGAATTCGAATTCCAATGAAATCAAATTTCCTGTGCATAACTACTCTGCACATGTCATTGCACAAAACTTGACAAAAGACCAAAACTATGGCCGCTGTGTATCTTTCCATCCATGTTCTAGCAGAAGATTCATTCTCATTTTGCACATTTTGTGAGTGGTGCAGCGAGGCCCTAGCTCTGACATTACGTCACTTTTCGTGGTGCACTCATATCTCAAGGCAGGGAGAGAGGTGCTGCGAGGTAGCGGTCGGGGTCGGGGTCGAGGTCGGGGTCTCCTCCGTCTCGGTCTCGGTCGAGGGCTCTCTGGATCCTTAATTACACGGCCTTTTGTCACGACAGCATCTACGACATGCACGTACGATCAGCACCCAGGAGATGCAGCAGGCGTGAGCTTACAGTCTAGTTCACAGCGTCGTGACAGCGGTCGCAGGTGCAGGCGGGTAGCTACCGGTCGTTTCTCACGATGACAGTAACTGCTGCAGTAAGCCTTGTCTTGCCGGGTCGCTAGTCTCCATGGCCGGGCACCTTCTGTACCGGTCGTTGATGGGGTCGTTCCTCACCATGACGGTAAGCTTCTGCAGTTTGCGTTGCGTTCCCCGGTCGTTCGTCACTGTGACCAGGTAGCATCGGTGCCGGTCGCCCGTGCGGTCGTTCCTGCAGTTAGCGCTGTCTTTCCAGGCGGTCGTTCGTCAGCATGATCTGGGAGCTCTTGTACTCAGACATGTCGTGCCTGTCCTCCTGGTTTGTCACCGACATAGACAAAGCTTGCCAATGACAGGTGCAGACAGCGCTCTCCCAATTTGAAAGGAGAGGGAGTTGGGTGGTGCACCATTACATTAGATTCCGTTCCGTTCCGTTCCGTTCCATTCCGTTCCGTTTGTCTCAGCTCGCGGCAAACTACTAGCGAAGGCCGACATAACTCCGTTCCATCAGTGCGCGGGAGAAGACGCATCCACCATCGCTAGGCAGCGACGAAGGAGAGAGATGGTAGGTCGGGAGGAGAGAGAGAGAAGGTTCACGGCGAAAGGAAGGAGAGAGATGGCAGGTGAGAGAAAGGGGAGAGATGGTGGGAGAGAACTGAGAGAGATGGTAGGTGAGTAATACCTGTGGCCAGTAGGAAGAGAGGGATAGAGATGCCAGGCGCTGAAGCAGCGAGATGCCCGGGGGAGAGAGAGGAGAGGGAGGTGGTCGGTGAGGAATCCGTGTGGCCGGTACAGAGAGAGGAAGGAGGGAGATGGTAAGTGAGAGGAAAGAGAGAGATGATGCTAAGAGAGAAAGGAGTAGGTGGTAGGTGGTAGGAGAGGAAGGAGAGAGATGGTAGGTGGTAGGAGAGGAAGGAGAGAGAGAAGGTGCTAGGAGAGAAAGGAGAGATATCTGGTTCTAGGTAATCAATCTCTACACAGAGCTCAGGTAATTCAGAAGAGTAGATAGACACGCACTCACTCTCCCAGGTGGTCTGTTCGACGAAGATTCGCAGAATCGCAGGTGATGTACCCAGCATGAGAGCTGCCTGCCGCACGCACTCCACGTGTGCTACGCGTTCAAATGCAAATCTGATTCATCTTATCCTTATTCTTACCCAGTCACAAAACACGTGACACGTGACACGTGATCCGTTAGCAAGTTAAGAGTGATAGACACGTGGGCCGGTGGAAAGACAGTTGCCAGAATGTTCAGTATCGGGGCTCTGTCCCTCCGACTCCCTCGACATCGGCATCATTGCCGCAGCAGCGGCAGGTAGAGAACTACTGCGGTAGATAGCTAGCTTCCCCAGCATTAGTTAAGAAAAAAGGAGAAACAAAAAAAGAGAGGAGGAAAGAAGGAAGTACTGCGGTGGGTAGCACTCACATCGTGTGTTGATTGTACTTAAGATCACAAATAGTAGTTGCAGCAGGGGCCGAGAGAAGGAAAGACAGAGAATGCGGATTGACGTGGAGGGAGATAATTATGAGAGTTTAAGCGTTTAAGCGAAAGATCTGGAAAATTACCATGACGATGTTTTATCGAAAACCAAGAAGGGAAAAAGAGAAAAAAGAACGACGGAAAGAGAAAAAAGGAGAAGTGTTCCGGAGGAGGGGCAGGGAAAAGACAAGGAAGCTGTCAAGGGAAAGCAGAGGATAGGTGAGAGTTTTATCAAGAAGAAGTATCAAAAATAGAAGAAGAAGAAGAAGAAGAAGAAAAAGAAGAAGAAGAAGAAGAAGAAGAAGAGAGGTGAGGGAGAAGTCGAGGAGGAGGAGGAGGAGGAGGAGGAGGAGGAGGAGGAGGGGAAGAAAAGAGGAAGAGAGGCAGCAGGGTACGGAGCAGGAAGACGAGGAGCAGTAGCAGTAGTAGTAGTAGTAGTAGTAGGGGGAGGAGTAGGAGTAGGAGGAGGAGGAGTAGGAGGAGAGGAGTAGGAGGAGGAGGAGGAGAAAGGGGAGGAGGAGAAGGGGGAGGGGGAGGGAAGGAGAAGGAGGAGGAGGAGGAGGAGGAGGACAGAAACAAAAGGTCAGATTGTGAATCAGATAAGAGCAAAGGAAGAGAAGGAAGAGGACGGGGAGAAGGAGAAGGAGAAGGAAGAGAAGGAGAAGGAGAAGGAGAAGGAGCGGGAGAAGGAGAAGGAGAAGGAGAAGGGGAGAAAGGGCGAAAGGGCATCAGAGCTGGAAGAGGGAGGTAACTGCCCTCCTGCAGAGGCGAACTCGCGCGCAGAAGGGAAGATCCGACACAATGGAGAAGAATTTAGAAGAGACCCCGACGTACCGAGTAGGTTTCGTCCTCTTCGCCTTCATTGCTGCGTCTCTCTTTTTTGAGCAAAGCCTTCACCGTATGGGCTTGTATCTGAAAGTGCGGAGGAAGAAGGGTCTGCTCCGAGCCACCGAGACTTTGAAATCGCAGTTAATGCTTCTAGGCTTCATCTCGCTGCTCCTCACCGTGTTCCAAGACGAGATCTCCGAATGGTGTGTCCCGGTCACCAAAAGTGCTGATTGGTTACCTTGTCGGCAGATGGATCTTATCAACAGGAATCCTATCCTACCCCCAACCTCTTCTAACACCAGCAGTCCCCCGCAAGCCAGCACATCACTACCAGCGCCAGTAAGAGAAGAAGCAGCAGCAGCAGCTGGTCGACTAGGAGGACGACAAAGACAAGAAGGAGACCCTTCTTCTTCTTCCTCTTCTTCTTCCTCTTCTTCTTTCTTCTTCGTCTTCTTCTTCTTCTTCGTCTGTCGATGCGTATACCACAACTGCTAATCCAGGACGTCGGCGACTCCTCTCTTCTCCTCCTCCTCCTCCTCCTGCTCCTGCTGCTGCTGTTGCCTTCACTACTTCTGCTGTAGGACGTCGACAAATTGTCTTTTCTTCTTCTTCTTCTTCTTCTTCTTCTTCTTCTTGTTCTTCTTCAGAACGTCGCCTACTTCTTTCTTCCTCTTCTTCTTCTTCTTCTTCTTCTTCTTCTTCTTCTTCTTCTCCTGCTGCTGCTGCTGCTGCCGTTGCTACTGCTGCTCCAGGATGTAGAGAACTTGACTCTTGTTCTTCTTCTTCTTCTTCTTCTTCTTCTTCTTCTTCTTCTTCTTCTTCTCCGCCTTCTTCTCCGCCTTCTTCTCCGCCTTCTTCTTCTTCTTCTTCTTCTGCTGCTGCTGCTGCTGCTGTTGTTCCTTCTGTTGCTTCTGATACCATTACCACTGATGCGACTACTACAAGTATGAGTAGTTTTTTGGGAGGACATCGCGAGCTTCTCTTTGTAAGGGAAGGACGGTGTGGTGCGAAGCATCAGCCCTTCATGAGCTACGAAGCCCTTACTTTCTTCCATTACTTCATCTTCGTCCTGGCCATAGTGATGGTCGTCTACGCTTCCTTGGCTTTCTGTTGTCGACCTTAAGAACTCGCGGCTGGCGAACGTGAACAAGACCCACAGTTCCAGATACCTTCGTCGAGCCCGCGCTGCCTCCAGCAGGCAAGAGAAGCTCCGCATTGCTGCTGCTGCTGCTACTGCCCTTCCTGATCCTTCACCTGACCCCCAAACTGACCCAGAAACCGATCCACAAGCCGGCGATGCTCATGCCATCGCCATAGCCATGGATATGGAGTACGAGAGGAAGAAGGAGACGGACAAGCACAAGGACAAGGACAAGGACACGTGTGGTCGGTCTTCAACTGCCTGCTTCTGGCTTCTGTCCTTTGCGCTCCAGTTCCTCCCATCCTTTCGAGAAGAGGACTACCTCACTCTCCGCATGCTGTTCATTACTAATCAAAATTTGAATCTGTCGTTCGACTTCCACCTGTACTTAACGAGATGTATGGAGGAGGATTTCTCCCAGGTGGTGGGCATGCGCATCCCGATGTGGCTGGTCCTTGTCTTCCTGCTCGTCTTCAACATGCAGAGGAACGGTCTCTTCTTCTGGTTCGAGTTGGTCGGGATGATGCTGTGCATGGCGGTCGGGACGAAGTTGGTGGCCATCCTGCGCACGATCTCCGCCGAGAGCGCAAGGGGGCGGAAGGTGTGGGGACCGGGGGGCGGGGGAAGAGCAGGGTCGGGCGTCCGCCGCGGCGTCCGCGCCTCCTTTGCCGGATCCGCTCGAGCTGCAGCCGGCTATCCCGCTCGATCGTCGGACGAGCTCTTCTGGTTCAGCAGGCCGTCGCTGCTCCTCGCCTTCCTCCATTTTATCTTCTTTTCCAATACCGTTGAGTTATCGGCCTTCATCTTCTACTCCTGGAAATTTGGACTGCAATCTTGTCTACAAGAAGAAACGAAGATCATCGTAGCTCGACTGATCATCGCCTTGGCTCTGCTCGTGCTCAGCTCGTACGTCGCGCTGCCCCTATACGCGGTTGCTTCGCAAATGGGGTCGTCGTACAGAAGGGCAACTCTGCAAAAGCTCAGTCCCAAGGAAAAAGCCGCCCCCGCCCCTTTCTTCCGCGGCTCCTTCCCCGCCCGCGCGGGACACGGGAGGGCAAGACCGAGCAGGAAGAGGCTAGTAGATAAGGGGAAAGCTGCGCAAGTTGCGTCACCGGGGCAAGCCGCGCAAGGTGCGCAGGCTGCGCAAGGATGGGCACCCCGCACGACCGCTGACGGATCAGAAATCGTTGATCCGCATCCATTGCCGCGGCCGACGGCTGGTCAGTCATCAAACAGGTCTCGCTGAGAATCCATCATAGCTGGGCGATTTTTATTTAATTTATTATTTATTTATTTATTTCAGAATTGAGACACAGAGACACACACACACACACACACACACACACACACACACACACACACACACACACAGAGAGAGAGAGAGAGAGGCAGT